ATATTAAATAATAAAATCAAAACATTTAAAAAAATTTAGCATTAAAGTTAAACTAATTTTAAGTATAAGAAAAAACATTAAAAAATATTTAAAAAAATAAAATCTAACCGGTCCACCGGTCCGGACCGAAACCCGGTGGACCGGACCGGACCGGAACCCGAATAAGGAAAAAATGAGGACCGGAGACCGGACCGAATAAGGATCAGTCCAGACCGGTCCGGTCCGGTTTTGGCCGGGTTTCGGGTCGGTCCGGGTCCGGACCGAATAATGCACAGCCCTAGAGCTCATATTTTGTGTGCAATACCTTGAATCACAGTCCATTACTCTTTTCATATTATTTTCTCACTATTATAAGGCCCGGATACTAATATTTGGACCTGGACTGATCAACACTTCTAGGGAAAATATTAGGCATCCATCACTGGCGCCACCCGTGGGACCGATTGAAGCCTTTTAGTCTTCTGGATAGTAAATAACAAGTCTATCTCATTTCCATTAATTTGGCAGACCTCTCCCTGTGTTTAGGGCAGTCAGCGGTCCATCCAAGTGAAAGGGATAAACTTGTGGTCCATCTAGAAGGATTCCTGGAATTAATCGGTCCATCCAAAAAGACCGCTTTCATAAACAGTCATCAAGAGAAGCAGGACCGCTTCAAAGGCGCGGGCCAGCTTGGAAGGAAGGGAGGAACTTTCACCTCAAGATCTCAGGCATCAGCTAACCCTTTCCCAATCCAAGCATGAGACGCAAGAAAAGTCTTGTGAGCAGAGTTTTTACTCTAAGGCACCTAAGAGTTCCCATCCGGTGCCAAAAGATTCCCAGGCAACATCAGAAAGGTTTGATGCCAACTCCCCCTGTCGAAAGTTAATTGGATGGCTCAACAAGGAAGAAGAGGTCCGGTCCCAAAGGACCCAAAGGGAAGGGAGCCAAAAAGGGGGAGAGGAGGTGGAAAGCCATGGACGCATATCAGTGTATAAAAGAATGCACAAGAATGCATCCCAAAGGCTGGGACCTAGAACTGAGGAGTTTGGAGAAAGTTCTGGGTGCTCCAGCAACGAAGATGCCAGGGATATCCTTAAGCTGAGGAAGGATATGGAGGAGTTAAAGAAGCAAATTGACAGAGATGGATCGTTTGGGCCCACAGTAAAGGTGATTTCTCCCTTTACTACTAGAATGATGAAAGCTAAGCTGCATAGGGGTATGAAAGCCCCTGAAATCCGTTACAAAGGAGTCACTGACCCCAATGATCACTTGGCCGCATACTAAACTCACATGTTGATGCACGCTGTAGAAGACGAGATCCAGTGTCGCCTTTTCGTGGGGACTTTGGAAGGACTGGCCATAAAATGGTTCCTCACCCTTCCAAATGGGACCATTGATTGCTTTAAGGATTTGGCTCAACTCTTTCTCAATGCCTATGGAGGAAGATTCTAGCCGAAGAAGCACTTTACTCATCTCTTTCCCTGAAGCAAAAGGAAGGGGAAACTAATACAGAATTGGTGCAAAGGTGGAACGAGGCAATCAATGAAGTGGAACCCATGGATGATAAAACCTCCATCGCTCTATTCATGAGCGCCCTAAGGTCCGGAGAATTGTTCCGAAGGTTAGATTACGACGCCCCTACTTCTTACAAAGCTATGATGGCTAAGGTCGACAAATTTTGTGCCACGGAGGAATCAGACCGCTTAAAGAGCATGAATGAAGGAGCCTTACACGAGGGCTCAGAGAAGAAGAATGAGAAGGCAAGTGCGACCACCCTCTCCATCCCAACCCTCAAGTCACTGGTACCGGGAGAGGCCACCCCTGTGGCAGAGATTAAGGGGAGAGAAGAGGGTGGATAGAAAAGAAAGCGCGGAGATCCAAAGAGGAAGCAGTGGCCCTATGACCCGGCCAAGTATTGTAACTTCCATAGAAGGGCAAGGCACGCCACAGAGGAATGTGTGTTCCTCAAGAAGATGGAAGGACAAATGAAGGAGAGGGGACCGACGGCTAATCAAGATCCCAACCAAGGGGGAAATGTTTGGCGAAGGGACGCCAACCTTAACAGCAAGTCCAAGAAAACCCTGAAAGATTCCCCCAAGTGGGAGTCATTTTTGGCGGTCCAGAAACAGGAACCACAACCAAGGAAAGGAAGGAATGGGCCCGCAGGTTATATGTGGGGTCCACAATGCAACGGGCAAGTGGAGAACGCCAATAGAACAATCGTGGATGGTATCAAAAAGAGATTGCATGAGTTAGGCACTTCTTGGGCGGAAGAATTGTCCTATGTCCTATGGGCCCATAGAACCACACTAAGAAGGGCCATCGAGGAAACTCCTTTTGCCTTAACCTATGGTTTTGAGGCAAAAGTACCCACCAAGGTCTTTGTCCCTAGCGCAAGGGTGGAAGCATACATTTCGAGCCTCAACGAACAACTAATGGAAGTGGATGCTCATTTCCATCAAGAAAAAAGGGATGAAGCAACAATGAAGATAGAGGAATATCAGAGAAAGTCCAAAAGGTATCATGACAAGAAAACCTTACCTCGGGCTATCGGGGTTGGGGATTGGGTCTTAAGAAAGAGAGAGAAGAGCCAACCCACTAAAGGAGGAAAGTTAGCCAAAAATTGGGAGGAACCATATCGTATAGAAAAAGTTGTACGCGTGGGGACCTATCAATTGGCTACAATGGATGGCAAGGCATTGGACAACTACTGGAATATGGAGCACTTAAAAAAATTCTACTAATGGGAAGTGACCCGTCCAAGGTTTTCTTCAAAAAATTATGTTGATTCCTTTAACGTTGCAAGAGAATGTAATATACTCTACGTGTAAAGGAAAAGGAAAGCAATTTTCAGATTTATAATCCTCATTATTGTTCCATGGATTACATAAAAAAGGAGAATCGATCCATTACAGAAGCTACAGAATCCAAGGGAGGACCGGTCCAATACAGAGGGAAAGGGATCAGCGTGGTGGAGGACAGAAATGGGATGGCTCTGGCTCCATAGGTTGTGGAATGCCAGGAAATTTCAACCAAGGGTCTAAGCCATCACAGTAAGGCTCCATTCCAGCATAAGAATCATTCTGAACCTCGAGCCCTCCGCGGTAGAAACCCTGGCCATAGTCTGAGATGCGCTCCGCTTCCATACGAGCCATGTGCCCCTCGTAAGTAAGACGCTCGGTCTCAAGTGAATGACGGGCCTCCTCAAGTGAGTTCCGGGCAGAACGTCTCTCATCGGTAAGAGTTAAGTTAAGCTCTTCCACTTGGCGGGAGAGTCGACGCTCCATCTCCTTGGATTAAAGATGCCATCTCGGCTCGGCCTCTTCCGCCGCCTTCCTTGATGCCTCCTCAGACTGTTGGCGCCATCTCCGCTCTAGCTCCTCTTCCGCTTTCCTTCGGTGGAGTTTGACCTCTTCTCGGATATGCCGTTCCCGTTCCACGCACTGCCGAGTCAGATCCGCCCATACAAACTTCATCTCTTCATCATCCATAGCCCGCCTTATTAAATGTTGCTTGTTCTTGGCCACAAGGCGCTCGTTCTCAGAAGAGATCCGGTCATTCTCGGACAAAACCCGATCGTACTCCAAGCGCTCGACACAAATAGAGTGCCGGGACCAGAAATCGCCCAACTCCCGAGATAGAGCAGCATTGCGGTCCGAGAGGCGGAGAGCATTGCGCTAGGTGGCGGAGGTAGTAACGTACTCGGAATGCAAAAGAAAAGGAAGATACAACAATTAATAATGACAAAGGGAAAGAAGAAATTAGAGAAGACAAAGGAAAAAATGAAAGAAAAATGCTTACCATACGAGGATACTCCTCCAACATGAAAGGCCACACCGGGCTCTTGACCACATCCAGGTGGTCCTTCCGGAACTAATCCATCTCGTAAAGACGGCGGTTGAAGTCCCGTCGGGCATAGGTGTAAGGCAGATCGCCAAAGGCAGTATCCTGCCCGGTGGGAGGCTCATCTGGCGCGGTCCCAATGGATTGGCCGGCGGACTCTTCCAAGCCATGGAGAGGGGTGGAATTCTGGCCTCGCTTGTGGCGGGCCTGTGAAGATGAAGACCCGGTCTCATATGTTGATGGACCGGGATTTGCAGTAAGTTGGATTGGTGGGCGGACAGTGGCCCGCCGGAAGCTAGAGGACCGGATAAGCTCCTCAACATCCTTGAAGGACCGCTGAATGTCTGTTCTAGGGAGGGGAGCGCCGCGGCCAAGGGGCGGTCCAAAAATGCTCTCCGCCACCGATTCTGCGAAGTTCTGAGCAGTGGGTGGACGGAGCTGAGAAGTAACATCATCCCCTCCACAACCAGAGGAGGGGGAGAAGTCCCAGGAAGAATCCGGGTTGCAGTGGATCCCAAGCCTGTCCACTTGGACATGGGGCGGTTCAAGAGACTCATGTGAACCAGTGGCCCGGCCAATGGGATGGGTCCCATTGCCTTGGGGATAGACCCACGGAGCCGACGGGCTGGGAAGAAGAAGAAACCCCCTGCCAAAGAGAGGGGCTTGAGGAACGTCTGGAATGAAATTAGCCCCCTTAAGGGCCCCAGGAGAGAAATGGTAGAGTCCATCCTCGTCAGAGATGTCCTCCACTTCCACTTCCTCCTGGACGAATGCTTGATTGGCAAGTTGCAGAGGGTGCTCCCCAGTAGCGGTACCCACCTCTTCTTCTTCAGTGTCCTCCTCCGGAGAAGGATCCCTCCGGGAGGATCGCCGCAACCCCCGCCGGAGCCGTGTGGTCTTGGGGGAGAAGCCCAAGAGGAGACAGTGTTCCTCGATATCGCTTGGAGTGGAGCATCGGGTTGCACCCAAAATCCAAGCCCCCAGAAATAGGAGTTCTTAGGAAGGAGGTTGCGAAGGACCGGATGGCCGTTCTTGAGGAGAAGACGGAAGGTCTCCTCAAGGGCCAGAGTGCGAGGAGGAAAAGTGTGGGAAGGGAACTTGTCTTCCTTCTTCCTCCACACGTTGGGGAAGGGGAGGTCTTCCGAGACCATCACCACGGAGAAACGCTGGTACCAATGTCGATCTTGTCAACCAGGCTCTCCAAAAATTGCATGTTCGTCCGGGCCGTGAAGCTCATGAAGCCCTGGCCCACTTCACAGTCATATTTGTGGGGGCGGAAGAAGGAGAGGAAGAGTTCGAGGGTAGGCTGGATGCCCTTCTTGTGGCACCGAGCCCATCGAGAGAATATCAGTAAAATTGGGTCTTGGTCCAATGTAGAATCCGTACATTATAGAGGAGATCCGGCCCAAATTTAATATAATGGGCTGGCAAAGAGAAGCTGTCCAAGAGACAAAGTAGGGAAAGAAATGAGGTTGGGGACCTGAAAGTGTGGGTTGGACCTCAACCCATGAAGGACGGGTCACCCAGAAGAAGGAATCCCACAATCAGGGTACGCTGCCTCCTTGAGGAGGCAGACAAATGGACAAAGGAAGCAAGGGATAATGGGCGGTTGGACAAATCTGTCCTTAAGTGGATGGCATTGAGTTAATACACTTATTTCGGGAAAAAGTGAGGATTGCCCGGATATCCTCCCCAACCACTGCGAATATGTTGATGAGATGGTGGCTGGGGAGCTCCTATAAAAGAGGAGTAAACTTAGACAGAAAGATAACTTGTAATAGAGAGAGAATTTGCCCGGATATCCTCCCCAATACACTTCTTTAATCCATTTTATTTTGTAATTTGTATATTAAAAAATTATAAAAATTATATATTAATAATCTGTATGTTAAGACAAATCAAACAAGATCACGCATGACTATATTTAGACTTACACATTGAGAGAATTTGATGAGTCAAAGTGCTTAGATGAACAGTTCCAAAAGTCAAAAGTGGACGAATATAGCGGGACGGAGGGAGTAAAAGAATATTCTGGCGGCCCTTGAGCATATTCCGATCCCAGGTGGACCGAATAGAGGAAAGGATCACCGATTTGAGCTCATATTTTGTGTGCAATACCTTCAATCACAATCCATTACTCTTTTCATATTATTTTCTCACTATTATAAGACTCAGATACTAATATTTGGACCTGGACCGATCAACAGTCCTAGGGAAAATTTTAGGCATCCATCAACTTCCATGAGGGAAGATTTGTAATTGGTCACTCAAGTTTAGATTTTTTCAAGGTCAGCTCTCCAAAAGTTTTGGAAATCTAAATGGTGAAACTTGGACTGATCACGAGGCACTGCTGGTTCTGGGGGGATGCAACTCTACAATAAAAATTGGATCCAAATTATAGACCAGGTTGGCTCTAAGTCAAAGGGGCAGTGCATCATTGACATATGGCTCTGGCTAGCGAACATGTATATTTGGTGTTTAAACATTTTCATCCATCACTTTAATGAAGCTAATTTATGTGTGCTTCCGACATTTCCATGCAGTTACAGAAGGCAGCAAAACTAGACTCAAGGGTAGTCCGGGCTAAATCACACGTTTCAAACACTCCGTAATAATTATTGAGCATAATATATAGGGGCAAGGTTTGTATGTACGCACATTCTTCCCACACTCTACTCTCGTGTGATCTAGTTATCTAGGTTGTTATTTTGGACATGCCATTTTTAGTACAAAGTACTCCCTCTGTTAACTAAAACGCTTCATCTTTCATTTTATTCGTTCACCAAAACACTTCTAGTTTCTAATAAAAAACAACTTTTACACATACTAATTCTCACCTTACCTATTGCATCAAACTTTTTCACTAATAACCTACCTATCAAATTTTACTTTTATCCATCACATCAAGAACAAAGTTGGAAAGTTAACTACAAATATACACTCCTTATTTCTCCCATTAGTCAAAATAGGAACCGTTTTGCTGAATGGACGGTGTATATGATTAATTTGTGGGGTAATAATTTTGGAAGCTATAAAACATAAAAAAAACTCAAAATTTGTATTTTATAATAAAATATGAATATGAACCGAATATTTGAATTTAATATTAAATCGAATACGATTAGTAATAATTATTCGAATTTAAAACAAATATGAATATGAAGAATGGTATCATTTTTCAAATACGGATAAAATGTCATAGTATTCGATTCGATTCGTTCGCTTTACAACCCTAGTTGCAGTTGCATACATTGACGGTTGGGTTGCTGATTTCAGCGGCAATGGCGGACCTCCGCGGGTGTAGATTTTATCGGGGGAGGGTTAGAGAAGAGTCCACCAGCAACAAGGGCGAACAGTGGCCACAGTCAAAAAGTTCTTCAACCATGTCGCCACCTCCAACATCTATGGTAGTAGAGGCAGCAATTGGTTTCAACAGAAACCAATTGCTATGATATGTTGAAATGGAGTCAAGCTCAATCTTCTTGCTCTCTTCCAAATCTACCCCCTTTTTTTCGTATTCATTTTTTTTTGACTTGAGCTAGAGTCTCCCCTTCTCCAAAACTACCACTCCTAATTTAATTTGAGTGATGAATCTAGTTTGCTTCCGGGACTTTCGTATGAGTAAGATGGTAATCATGGTTTTTTTAACTCAAGTTCCCACGGTCGGCCCTAAAATGATGGTGTAAATTATCTTCACTGGTGTATCTTTCTTATTTTTCTTGTTCCAGACAAGAAAAATAACCTAGTTTAACAAAATATATCAAAAAACACACACAAAATTTTTGACATGGAAACCTAATTGGGAGTAAATCACTGGCCTTTTTTGCAGTACCTTGCTAATGAGGGATTTTTATTAATATCGGGGATTGTACACGACACATCATTTGGGCTTAGAAGCCATTAATGGAAGCTTGAAGCTTCATTGAAAGAAAAAGGATGAACAAACTAAGAGAGCGTAACAGGGGAGAGTGATGAGAGATTAGCCTCCCCAATATTGAAGGCAAATCCTCCTTTTATAGGGAAGGATGAGGAGCATCTTTGGAGAATATCCTTTGATTCTTTCCTTTTATTAAATAGGTCCAGTTTGATTGTTCTTCATGAATAATTAGAAAATATGGACCGAGTCACATATTATTTCTCATCAACCGGAATCGGTACATGCCTGTTGAGTTATCTCATCCCACATTGGCTAAACATGCCAATATTAAGTTATATTTAATAGCTGGGTTTCTCAACTTCTTAACTTAACTTTTAGGATTGAATTGGAGTCAAGTCTATTATTTCACATGATGAGTGTGTTTGGCACTGCATTGATTTTCAGAATTTAGCATTTGCTTTAAATAGTAATCATTTTATTCTGTTTGGCATATCAATTTCTACTTTTCTTCACCATCATTTTGTACATAAAACACTTTTTCGGAGAAGCAAATTTATAGTACTTCTTGTTTCAGCTTTTCTGAAAAATATTTTATCCACAAGTTAATCATTCACAAAACCATCGATTTCAAAACTAAGGTTATTGATGTTGGGACCGTGTCCGCAATCATTTAGGATTAAATTAGATCCAAATTTATTATTTCACAAGGCCTTGGATTGTTACTATTTGTGTATATATGAGGGAAAGATAATATGCTGGTATCAAAGTAGTGTAAAATTTTATCTGTGAGCATAATTCTAACATTTTTGTTTTTTGGATTAAGCTATTTGTACACCAAAACTTATATCCCAAAGACATGCAACGACATTTTGTATTAATGTAATAATTTACATTGGTAAAAAAATATAAGTACAATTTTTTTAATGAACTAACATTTTGTACTAATCCGAATTGTTAAAATATTACTCCCTCCGTCCTATAATGATCTTCTCGGTTCGCAAAATGAAGAAAAATCCCAAATTTTTTCAATCTATTTTATTTAAATATTGGTATAGAAATAAAAAATAAAACATACATATTTAAAAACTACACCAAAAGTTCAACAAAAAAATTGGTGACAAGAATATTTTATTTTATCATATAAGCCATGAAAAAACACAAATAAATATAAATTTTTGTGAAATTGGAATAGTGCTTTGGAAAGATCATTATAGGACGGAGGAAGTAGTACATTTTTGGTGTACCCCTATCATAATTTTTTTTGATAAGCAATAGCTCTCTGCACTCTGCGGTGGAATTGGAAGAACATCCTGTCGCTGCAACCCGATTTCAAGACGCCTGATTGGCTGACCCAAATTGAACCGTCGTCACTTTTTATTTTTATTTTCGCGCGTCATGACTCATGAATCCTTCGGCCCGACTCGATTTTGAAACCCTCATTGAAGAACTCAGGGGTCGCCGGGAATATTTCAAGGCCGGCGTCATGGCTTCGCCGGCGACGTGGGGCTTATCAAGGTTCTCTATCGGAAACTCCTGTTCTACACTTTCATCTTCTTCTTACTTACAGGTTATTCCATTTCCGATTCCTAAATCCACTGTGAAGAGAAATTCCTCGCGTCTCATTTGCTGCAATCTCCGTCAACTGCGAGAGCGAATGGAGACGGTAAAAAACACCCAGAAGGTCACAGAAGCGATGAAACTGGTGGCCGCCTCAAAGATTCGGAGAGCTCAAGAGGCTGCCATCAATTCTAGACCCTTTGCGGATGCCATTGTTGAGGTTCTGTACGACATCAACGAGCAGCTCCAGTGGGAAGATGTGGATCTTCCTTTAACAGTGGTCCGTCCGGTGAAGAAGATTGCCCTAGTTGTTGTCACAGGTGATAGCGGCCTCTGCGGCAGTTTCAACAGTGCTATTCTGAGAAAAGCCGAGGCTCGTATGACGGAATTGATTTATCTTGGTTTGGATTACACCATAATCAGCGTTGGGAAAAAGGGAAATTCTTACTTTCAACGAAGGGAAAACAAAATTGTGGAGAGATATGTGGAAGTAGGAAGTTTTCCTACCACAAAGGAGGCTCAAGCCATATCAGATAATGTAATCTCGCTGTTTGTGAGTGAAGAGGTTGATAAGGTTGAGCTGTTGTATACTAAGTTCGTGTCATTGCTCAAGTCTGAGCCGGTAATCCACACCTTGCTTCCCTTGTCTGCAAAGGGCAAGATTCGAGACGTGAATGGAAAGAACATTGATGTGGAGGGAGATGAGTTTTTTAGGTTGACTACGAAGGAGGGGAAGCTAACTGTGGAGAGGGATCACAGGGAAGCATCTAAAACAGAAAGAGCGTATTCATGTTATATGCAGTTTGAGCAAGATCCTGCTGAGATTCTTGATGCGTTGATGCCTCTTTACTTGAATAGTCAGATTTTGAAGGCACTTCAAGAGTCGTACGCAAGTGAGGTTGCGGCAAGGATGAACTCAATGAACAGCGCCACAGATAATGCTATTGAGCTGAATAAAAAGCTTTCCATGTCTTATAACCGGCAGAGACAAGCAAAGATCACTGGTGAGATATTGGAGATTGTTTCTGGAGCTGATGCACTTGCATAGAGAATCCTATTCTCTTCAAATATGATTTTTTTGAGGTATTCAATCTACGGGTAAGTTTAGGCAAAAAGAGTCTGGCTGGAATGCATCTATACTTAGATTGGCGAAGCATATGTTATTTTTCCAAAGTTTAATGAATGACATATTCTTACCACCTATACTTTCTTGAATTCCGAGTTACTTCCCAAATGCTGAACAATTGAGAGCAAAGATCACAAGTTCTGAACTATTTTTCGAGGTATTCAAGCAACTGGCAATTTTTGGCAAAATGTCTCTTGCAGGATTATGTCTATAGTCTATACTTACTGAGATCGGATAAACATATGTTATTATTCCAAAGCATAATGAGTGGCCAAATACTGAACTCAATAGAGAGGAAAGGATCACAAGTTTCGAACTTTTCTTCACTTCAAAATCAATATGAAAGTAGTTTTGCCCGCTTGAAATGTAAGGTGGAACTAACAGATATGAACTGTAGTTTGTTACATGTGCATTCAGTTTTTTTTCCTTTTATAATAGCAAATCGTTTGTGATCAAAATCTCCACACCTGCAGATGTATTCCAATATAGCAATTCATTGTTTGAGCTCCCTAAAGTTTGGTAGGGGTGTGGGCTGGTCACCTTGTGTGCAGATGTATCTAACTCTTCAGGGGCTTGGGGTGGAATTCATATGTGCAAGGTCAGTCCTGGAAAGCTGAAAATGTGGGGTATCAAATAAAACAAAGTTTTTGGTTTTTTTTATAGCCTGGATACTTGAAGTCTAAAGAACTGAGACTGAAAGCCTGATGATATTTTAACATTAGGGTATGTGCAATTAGTAAAATAAATCAATCCTTCAGGTTTAAACAATTCAGACTGATTATCAGTTGTAGAAAGTAGAATTCTGGTTGGTTTTTTATTCTATAAAAGCCTAATCCTGATTTTTCTATATATAAAAAACAACCACGGAGGGCGACATAAAATTGAACAACGTTATCTTTATGAAATCTACCAAAACTGCATTCTTATGGGGATAGTCCATCTTATTGATAGCTTTTGGTAAAGGGGCAAATGGCCCTGTGGTTCTCCCTCTTTCAGATGAGGCCACTCAGTATGAAATCCCTTGGCGTGCAGGTTCCAATTAATGTTCCTCCATTTAACTCAATCACCGCCGTTTTAGAGGTAGGAGGAGACCGTCGTATTTGGGCGCAAACTCTATTGCTATTACTATTACTATGATTATTGTTGATGTTGTCCATATTGTTGTGGTTATTGTTGTTATTGTTGTTGGTGTTGTTGTGTTTGTTGTCATTTTTATTGTTCTTATCGCTGTTATTGTCCTTGTTCTTGTAGTTGTTACTCCCTCCTTCTCATATCTTTATTCCTGTTTACTATTACGGCCTCTCGATAACTTATGTTTTCATGCATGTCTTCATTGATCATTTGTTAATACGGAGTATAATATAGTCTTGTCACCTCTTGTTTTCTAAAACTTTTGATGTGGTTTTGAATGATTAATTTGCACTCTTTATTTCTTTACCAATTTATAAATAAAATCTTTTTAAAAGAGATGAGATTTTGCACGTCGTTCAAAACAGGAAGAAAGTTATGGGACACAAGGAGTATTATCCTATTGTTGTTTTTGGTATTATTATTGTTGTTGTTGTTATGATTATAATGCTGATGATTACTATAAATCTATAATGATTATAGTTATGATAATTATGATAATATTTATTATTATTATTATTATGACTATGATGATGATGATTATATTATTATTACTATTATTATTATTATTATTAATTGGTTTGTGCGTACCAGATTCCAATAATAGGAGTGTTGGGAAGGGAATTCCAGTCTAATAAGCAAACAACAGGCCTACGAAAAGCTACTTTTTTGGTTGCTTCCATTTCAATGGCTTTGCTCTCAGTCCAAAGCCGCCTGTCTTGTCCTGCAAAAAGAGATGCCACTTCTGCTATTCTGTGGCATTATCTAAAGTTCCATTGCTCCAACTTTTTTTAATTTTTGTCTAGCACCATGCATCTATTGGATTCCCTAAGATTTCCCATAAAAAATATTGCACCCAGTACTATATATAGATTAATATTCAAGGTCTGAAGGCCACATCTAAGTTGATGTACACATAGTTAGGCTGGCTTTTTTATTAGTGCCCTGTGTGTGTGTAGATGTCAATGATTCAGAGGAGGAATGGCTTGTACAGCAAAGGCAGCAGTGGTTGGACCTCAATCAGAAGTGAAGACCTTCAAGAAGGTGATGTTTGGGAACTTTTCCCTGAAAGGGAAAAGTTCACCCCCAAGGCTAATAAAGAATATCCCACTGCTCTAAGGCTCATCCCAACTGCAGCCAAAATGATCCCAAGATCCACCAAGAATCCCAGCTCTCATGACCCCAAAATCATTGGACACTCCGCTCCGGTGGTCATACAAGATTGGTCTAAAATCCACAGCGCCGGTTCAAATAATGCCCCATGCAATCCGCCGTTTCTTGGTGATGCCTACGATCATCATGGTCAGGAAAAGCAAGGTGATGCGTTTGTGAGACGATGCCGAGATGGTGATGACGACGAAGAGGAAGACTATGACGGCGAAGAAGATGTGGGCCCCATAGTGCCACCGCACGAATGGATTGCGAGGAAGCTGGCAAGAAGGCAAATATCCTCTTTCTCTGTGTGTGAAGGGGTTGGGAGGACTCTGAAGGGGAGAGATCTAAGCAGGGTGAGAAATGCAGTGTTGAGTAAAACTGGCTTTCTTGAATAATAATGTCAGACATTAGACCTTGGAAGCCCCATATAAAAATGTATTGTTTAACTTTTACACTCTGATCTTTATATATATACGATATATATATACTTGAGGTATGCCCTTAAAGATTGAAAATTTTGCTTCATATAGGACTAAACGATAGTACGTTTCTCTGAATAGGACCAAGTACATTTTATTCCCTTTATGACACATACTCCCTCCGTCCCTCTCTCTTTGTCCACATTCTTTTTGGACCAAAAACTATGAAAGTGGGGGAGGGGTTGTGAAATTGACACAAATGCCTTCCATAGTATACCCACCATCCACACACGCCACACTATTGGGGGGGGGGGGGTTCTTAATTTATCATTAAAATAATGTTAAAGTACAATGACAGTCTTCCAACCCATACCAATCCGTTATGGAGATTTGGTGGATCATTACAAAAATTTTGCTCCAAACTAAAAAAAAAAAAGAAATTCCCTCCAAATCTATCTAAGTTCATTGTCTATTTCTTCATTCTTAAAGGCTCGCACAAGATGCCTAAGTGCGGTAAGTGGCATGTTTTTGTAAACAAAGTGTACTCTCTGTTCATTTTGTGAATAACGTGTAGTATATGGCTTGTTGTTGTAAGGTAAGTGTAGTATCTATTCTTTTGGTAAACGAAGTGTAGTATGTGCGGTGGTATTAGTTTTTACAATACTAAGGCCGGGTTCTGTTCAACTTATTTTTTCTGTTTTTTTCTTATTCTTATTAAAATCAGATCTGGTCGAATCAGATCAGATCCAATCAAGAATTATTATTATTATTATTATTCTTAAAAATGAAAAAGAATAAACTTTAGAAACAAGTTAAATAGAAAACTGAGAAATTAATCCTTAATTATTAGACGTCAGAAAAATTATTTTTAAAATATATTGACAATGTCAATCTAATTCTACTTTTAAAATACATTTTTATTGCTACCTGTAATTTGAGTTTCTTAAATTTTGATCTTTTACTACATCGAGTTGATCAACTTTGATCATTACTTAAACAAAATTAACATTTGATATTCATATATTTTAGTGTAACTAAAATAACTATTATATCTATGGTGTTATATTAATCATAAAAAAAGTTTTGTAGTACAAAGCACACACACTGATATTTTATAAGGATGAGATATTTTAATAAAAATACTATCCCTTCTCTATATTGATTATCTAAATTTAATTACATTTTAATATATATATGAATTAAATATTTATTCGAATGTATATATGTACTAATTATTAAAATATTAAATGAATATTCTTATTTCATAAAAAAACGAATCATAAAATAAAAATATTATTACATTATAATATGAACGATTATTCTAATATATGAAATTACTAATTTTATTTCATTAAAAAATAATCATAAAATAAAAAAACTGGTTATATTATAATATGAATTATCATTACAATTTTCAAAAGTTATTATAAAGTCAAATCAAATTATTGAATTGAATTTTAAATCAAATCACAATTTATCAGATCGGACCAGATCAGATCCAATCAGATTAGATCAGAAAAATTAAGTTGAATGGAACAGAGCCTAAGGCTGCGTTCCGCTTGCCTGATTTGATCTAATCTGGTTCTGATATGATCTGGTCTGATCTCATCTGATCTGATTGGATCTGATCTAGTCTGATTGAATGTGATTTGATTAGATCTGTTTTGATCACATTAGATCTGGTCTAATCTGGTTTGATCTGATCTGGTATGATGTAATTCGATCTCATATGATATAAATTAAATTAAAATTAAAATTATTATTATAATAGTTATAATAGTAGTAATAAAAATAAAATAATTATTAATAATAATAGTAATAATAATAGAATTATTATTAATAATAGTAGTAATAATAATAAAAATACAAATAATAACAAAAATAAGAAAAATAGCAATAACAATGGTAATAATAATACGTAATAACTATAATAATAATAATAATACTAGTAATAGTAATAAAAATAATAATAATAGTAATAATAATAATAATAGTAATAATATTAATAATAATAGTAATAATAATAATAGTAATACTTAATAATAAAATAGTAACAATATTTATAATCATAATAATAATAATAATAATAATAATAGTTAAAATAATAATGGTAATGATAATTGTAAAAATAATAACCGCAATAATAAGAATAGTAATAAAATAATAAAAGAAATAATATTATTAATAATAATAATATAAATATTGATGATGATAATAATAGTAATAGAAATAGTAATAAAAATACTAATAATAATAATAATAGTAATAATAATAATAGTAACAATAGTAATAATATTAATAATAATATTAATAGTAATAGTAATAGTAATAGTAATAATAATAATAATAGTAATAATAATAAAAATAGTAATAATAATAATTATAATAATAATAGTAATATGAATTCATTTTCATGTGGATCATAATTGAATGGTATCAAAAATAGGATTTTACAATTAAAAAATCAGGTTTTTTGTCACTGAAAATGTTCGAGACGGTCGACCATAATAGTTAGACGGTCGACCGCTCGCACCAGGTCGCTACTGGACGAAAAACGGTCGAACATTTACCAGCCACGGTCGATCGTTCCAGTGGACGAACTGGAACACGAAGTGAGTAGAGGACGGTCCACCGCTTGGAACGATGGTTGATCGTTCTGCAAGTCGTGGTGTTCAACCTCGGGTCTATTTTCGAAAACATCAATTTAAGCCACCAAACTTCAATTGAATTATATAAAAATGTTCTCTAGTGTTCATAGATCATTTTACTACCATTAAATTGATGTTTTAACAATAATTTTAAGGTTAATGATTATTGGTTCTTCAAACATGTCAAACACAAAACTCAACCAAACGACCATTTATGAATGTGGAAACGATCTATATGAACATTCTAAACACTAGATTTATCTAATGGCTTACCTCAGACGAAAAGGGAGGTTTTGGAAAAATTCCGGCAAAACTTCTAGCGACAATTACTTTCCACTTCGGCGAGCTCTCACTATATGGACAACACCACCACGTTCTCCACACTCAGAGCAACACAATGGAAGATGGAATGAGAAGAAATGGTGAAGAAATGAGGAAGAATGTCTCGTCCTTATATAGGAGAAAGATGAAGGTGAAGCCAAGCTCCTTCCATGCTCTGCTGCGCTATTTGGCGATCGTGGGAGGGCGGTTGAGCGATTCTTACGACTCTTCCCTCATTGTGACTAAAATGGTCCCAGTCGGGGTACATTTTCTAGTCTAACTTTCTTCGAGTTGAATTCCGATTGTACCGTTAGAACCAGACAGTCAAAATCTATACCACAATATTTTTTTATATTTATTTGTAATATTTTTTTCTGACACCTTATTTTTGGGTGTTTCACTTTGACAGAGTAAAAATTATAGTATAGATTATAACGGACGGAAAAAATGAATGGTCCCGGAATAAAATAAAAATAAATCCGAATTTATAACTTATTCAAATTTAATTACAATAAATAAACAAAACTTCCGATCTTCAAAGGCCTTTATCGACAATGAAGACTTTGTGCACCAGATTAAAGCAGCGAACTGGAATGTGCAACTTATAAATGCATCCTACATAAACCAAACACCATAGAAGGGCAGTGGAGTCGCTTGAGTTGTCCTTAAGGTAGTAGTGCTCGTCTATCGTACCGAAAAAACGTGGGCATTCTCCTCCTAGAATAAAACCGCTATCGTGTATGGTGATTTTAGGGACCAACCATACACCAACGAACAAGAACAACATAGAAATATTGGCGACCAAAAAACCTTGAAGTGAATTGCTGGAAATTTGGATGAAAATCAAGAGCTCTCTCTTTAAAAAAAATGAAGCATGTTTTTTTTGTTTTCCTTTTTTTACTTCTCACGTATGGCATACCTATTTCAAAAATGAGAGCCCTCTTGATTTTTATAACTAGGCATTAAAAGTTGTAACATACACACACTTAACGTTTGGTATTAAACCATGACATTAGTGGCATACTAATGTTGTGTTAATGGTGATTAAATAATCATTAATACGTTCGTTTTTCTATTCTCCATTTAAAATTTGTCTCGAAAAATTAGATATTAATGACAAGTTAACTCCGTAAAAATGAACTAGTTTTAAACAACGCGTAAAAAATAATAACCAAAGATTGGTTCAATAAAATTACAAAAAATGCAATTCTTACCATATTCTTCTATTAATAAGTTAACTTTGAGAATCAATTTCTCATTCAGCCTCTCCAATTTTTAGCGTATAAATTATCAAAATATTTATCTCATTTAAAAGAACATTTGTCCATTAATTAACAATTAAATCATTAGTGGGCCTATTGATAAATATACTTAAGTTGGTACATTTAATACCTATTAAGCTACAAAAAATATTAACATATTTTACTCATATTTTAATAAGATATTAATATATACGTTCAGTTTAAATTGTCCGTTCCTAATAGTAGAATATCAAGAAATTTCAGAATGAGTTCTGTAAGTACGGTTGCGTGTAACCCATGAAAACTACGGGTATTCTTAGAAAAGGCGAGTAGAAATTGTCGCCTTTGACAGCCCACCGACAAGCTGCCCCCGCGCCACGACAGAGTGAATTGAACTTTTACGAGTTATGACTATGGCATGGGTAAATCCTGATCATATACGGAGTATGATCTACATCAAACACCCTTTTTTTTAGCTACAATAATACTACTTGGTCCATATGAAAATTTTTATTGACTATATTTGCAGGTAAGACACTTTCAGAGATAATTTTTTTGAAACTTTCACAGCAATCATAAGGAAGGAGGAGAAAAGTAAAGCAAACAAAGTCGTCTGGACTCTTCTTGAGCCAGCCGGGTGGGTGAGTCGTCTCGTTCCACGAACCACAACTCAGTCCAATTCCTCCCTGCAGAGCTGATCTACAAGTCTTGAATCTGGTTCTCTAGCTAGGGCGCCCAAATGAGTGTCCGCTGAATTTGGACACTGATTGGGCTGGGCTCTTCCTGTCATCGGCAACTGAGAGAAGAGGGGAAATGGGTTGGAAAAGCAGAGGATTTGAGTCGACTCAGAAAGGAACTGTTTCAAGAAGATCAACAATCTTGCTCTGTGTGGGGTGCTTCTGTATTGGGATGCTCTTCACTGACAGGTGGTGCTTCATTCCTCTTTTTCAATTCAATTCTCGCTAACCCTTAGTTTTTTTTCTTTTTTGATGAATCCCAGATTTTGTTTTATAATCTGGAAAGTATGGACTGTTTTTTTGAATGTGAACTCACAATCTTTCTTTGGGCATTTTGGTCATTTTAGAATGTGGATGGTTCCAGAAGCTAAGGGCATATCAAGGCTTTCAAAATTTGATGATGGCAAGATGAAGTTGGTTTCTGATGGCTGTGATACTGGAACTGTGAGTATGAAGTGGGGTGCATAATTTTAGATGTAATAAAAGATTGTTATGTTGGGGATGGTAAGTTCATATTCAGTTTTTCATGTTGGGATTTATTACAAGGATGGACAAAGTGACTCAAGGAACATTCTTGCTGAGGTTTCAAAGACACAAAGTGCTATACAGTATGTTTCTTGATCCATACTTTTTAGATTTCTCGAATGCCATATTTTTAATTTTTCCTAGCTTTTTTTCTTTTTTGAACTGTAAGCACATCCTTTCATTAAACAACTTTATCAAAAATACAAATGTGTCTTAGAGTAAAGAAAGCTCCCCCTCTACAATAAAGCAAACAAAATATATAAGTAGAACAAGCTCTCCTCTACTGTAAAACAAAACTGTTAAGCTTACAATGCATATAATATTTAGTCTGCTCTTCAATGTATCTACAGCAATCTTCAATCTTCCATACTCCCTTTTGATGATATTTGTTATTCCTAGCTTTCCAAAGAGTGTAGCACACAGCAGCCCACACTGCAATCATCACTTTTCTGGTCTTTTTATTGCCAATATTCAACATGTATCTGCAGAAATCTTGCAAATTTCCAGCTGCATTATGAATATTCATCCCAATTCTATTCTATAATTGTCTGGTGAAGCCACAGTCCCAGAATAAATGGTCACTATCCTCATCTTCTTGCTCACATAATAAGCACTACAAGTCTACATTAATAAGCTTACTCAATCTCTTCTTTGTTTGTAACCTGTCTTTCAGTAGAAGCCAAACATGGAATTGGTGTTTAGGGATAGACAAACCATTCCATACAAGATTTGTCCAGTATGGTTTGATTCCCTCCCCCATAAGCTAGCCACTTATAACCTTGCAGGGCATTATACCCATCTGTGGGGTTCATATCTCTGAGAGTTCTTTTGACTCTAGCCAACATTTTCCAGTAGTAACAAGAATCATTTTTAGGATTATGATCTTCATGGGAGTATGAAATTGCCGTAGATGTATTTATGCAAAAACATAAATATATATGCAGAAATCTGGATAAAACAATATCGAATTTGGAGATGGAGATAGCTGCAGCAAGGGATTTGCAGGACTCTATTCTTACTGGCTCTCCCATATCTGAAGACCTCATGGTCCCAGAATTAACTAAGAGAAGAAAATATCTGATGGTGATTGGCATAAACACGGCATTTAGCAGCCGAAAAAGAAGAGACTCTATTCGGGCTACCTGGATGCCCCAAGGTGGAGGTTCCCTTCCATCTCTTGTGTGTGTGTGTGTGTGTGTTTTGGATTATATTAATGATCTGTAGTATGCATTTCCTTAGCTCTTTTTCACCATTGACCCAATAAAGCAGGGGATGAAAGAAAGAAGCTCGAGGATGAAAAAGGCATTATTATGCGTTTTGTGATTGGACACAGGTGTGTTTCAAAGTTGATAGTTCTGTTCTAGCAATTGAAATCAAGTGTAGATGCTGATTCTAATTCTATGTTTTTTTTGTTGGGTCTACTTCGGTCCTTCTCTAGTGCTACTACCGGTGGCATTCTCGATAGAGCAATTGAAGCAGAGGACAAGAAGCATGGAGACTTCTTGAGATTGGTAATGCAAATACCC